AGGCTGGGTAGCAGCTCTGGGGGTGGGGTGGGGAGGTCAGTTCAGAAGAGGCTTCGAACTGGGTCTTCAGCATCAGGGCCATAGCTGTGACCCTGGGTGCTGGGGAAAGGAGGGCACCCTATGGACAAGGGTCCCGGAATCAGTGCTTCTTAGCCTGCAATCCTCAGCCGATCCTGTGAGGGCTGGTGACCCCTCCTGAGAGCCTCACAGTATTCCCAAACTCAGGAACTTCACAAAGACCGCAACATCTTTGAGTATCAGAGACAGCATGGGCCTCGGAGACCATGCTGCCAGCTTCTTGTCCCTAATTCTTTCAGGTAGCTCAAAGCGGGCTCCCTTGACTCCTAGCCAGGCTACACTACTCCCCCCAACCCCCCTCCCACTCTGTGTTCTACCCTAGATGGAAATGACGGCTTCATGTTGCCATGTCCCCAGTGGATGGGAGCATTCCTGGTTCCAAACATGGGCCTAGTGCATGCTGGGTATTCCCTGTCTGGATGCTCACCGACATCATGGATGAACTGCTCAATCTTGGCCTGCATGCCCCAGTAGCGGAACTCAACCTTGCACAGCTTATAGGCACACATGAGAGGTCCTGTCTGGGCCGCTGTCCGTGCCCAGTCATCAGCCAGGGGCCCTCGGCCGGTCTTGACTGAGCGGTACAGCCGGGGATCCTCTTCTGCCTTGTACTCTCCTGGGGCTACCGCATCCCGCACGATGTCAATGGTGTCTGAAGAGGTTTCAGCCAGCACTGAGCAAACCAAGCCCCGGTCTAATCTCTACTCCCCACCCCACCCCAGGGGTTAGGAGGAAAGCCCTTCAGAGACAGGAAGGTGAGAGTCAGAAATGGGGCTTTAACATCAGCAGGGGGCCCAAGAAGGCCTCACCCAGGATTCTCTGTCTCCTCTCAGCCCCACTCAGGTTGAAGACGTTAGGCTGCTGCCCCCCATCAGGCAGGTAGTAGGTCTCTATCTCAATGGAGAATTTCTCCACAAAGGGGCAGGTGTACCTGGCAGAGGGCAGTATGAAAGTCACTGCCGTGTCCACAAGCACTGGTTCCCTAACAGTCCCCAGCCTGTGCCTACCTCCCACACTCACCGTGTTCGAGTGTAGGGGTAAGCATTCCAGGATTCCTCCTCTACCTGCAGGGCAGCCTTGGGCAGCAGTGCCCGGAACCAGCCTGGGATGTGGGAGCCCACGTGGTACACCTTGTGTGTGTACTGCCCGCTGCCTCCAGGCCCGTCCGTGTAGGGCCGGTTGGCCAGGATCTCCACGCCGCTCCCCTCACCGCTAGACTCCTCCCGGCTCTTTTTCTGCAGTCCGGGACAGAGAAGAGGGACCTCAGCCCTAGCTTAAATCCTGGGGTCCTCAGCTTGGTTCTAGTTCTATGCATAGCCTTTTTAAAAAAAAGGTTTGTTTATTTTCAATGTATGAGTGTTTGCCTGCCTATATGTATGTGCAGCACATGCTTGTCTGGTGCCCAAAGAGGGCATTGGACCCCCAGAAATTGGAGTTGCAGTTGATTATGAGCTGCCCTATGGGTTCTGGGAACAAAATCCAGGTTCTGTGTAAGACCAGCAAGTGCTCTTAACTCCTGAGGCAGCTCTGCAGCCTGCACAGCCTCCTTTTCCGGTCCCTGCAACTTCCTGAGGTTGGGATCACAGGTCCTGCCCAGTTCCCATAGGGTTCTACAACCTAGCACTTGATCTGGTCGTGGATTGTTTGGAATGTAGAACTGTGATTTGTTGACAAACAGAACCTCCACCTGCCACAACTTAGGCTGTAGCAGAGGGAAACAGAAAACAGGAAGTGAGTGAGTGCTCTGAGGAAAAGCATGACCAAGGGTAAAGAGCTGAATGCGTAAGGTGGTCACAGAAGATCTGACCGAGAGGACAACATGACCATGGCCTTGCACATGTGGTGTGTGTGTACACAGGGGGACTCAAAGCAGAAAAGTTGGTGCAGGCTTGGTAGTAGAGCGTAATGAATATGTTCAGGAGTAGCAGCAAGTCCACCTCTCCACAGAATTGACTTGCCCCTTCCCTTTGGGACCTTATTCCCAGCTCCTGGGACGTCCTTCAGAGTGTGAGGGCCTGCAGCTGTCCTTTTATAGCTCTGAAGCCCAGAAGTGGTTCACTCAAGCCCACTGAGGTGGGAGGGAGCCTTCTCCACTCCTAGACTCATACTCCACAGGTCTGGGGAACAGACCTGGCCCAGACCCCTGAAGCCCTGATAGCTCGTCTTGATCCAGCATCTTTCTCACAGCCCAAGGCCAGATGCCTTTCCTCATCATCCAGTTCCTGCCTGCCCCGTCCCTGCCACAGTTGGGGGCCTGATCTACCTGCCACCCCTCTGATCTCCTGGGAATGCTAGGATTCTACACTTTTCCCCAGAACCCCTTCCTGCTTAAGCTACCTACCAGCTAGTGTCCCTGGCTCCCCAGTCTCCTCACAGACTGCTTTCCCTTCCCCCACGGGATTAGATTCTTAGGATTAAAGGAGACCATATGTGGGCTGTGCAGGCTGGGCATTTAATGGATGGGAAGCACCCGATGGCCTTTCTTGCCCTTCTGCCCCCTGTCCCTCCCTTCTGCTTTAATATCCAAAGGATGTCTTTTCCTCTTCTGGCCTACAGAACCCACTAACGGAACTGGTTGGGGGCATCCAGCGGGACTAACCCCCTGCGGCCTGTGAATTCCTGCTTCACTCCGTCGTGAAGCGCGGCTCCAGTACAGCCCTCCCCACCGTTCTCACCTGGATCATGTAGAGCTGGGCCACCTGGTACTCGTCCAAGCTCATGGGCAGCAGGATGTGGTACTCCTTGATGAGCATCCTGAAGACGCTCCGCTGACCGCGTGCGGCCTCCTCTCCTCCTAGCGCAGGGCACCGCGCGGCAGTCAGAGCAGGGCGGCGGTGCGCGATCCCGAGCCCTGCACGCCCGCCGAGGGGCTTGAGTCGTGGAACCCCATGCCCGGGCCCACCGCGGAGGAGGCAGAGGCGAACCCAGTGTTGCCTCCCGCACCGCCGGAGCCCGGAGCAGCAACGAGGCTCAGAGCTGACCTCTTTTCCACGCAGCCCCCGCCCCCCCGCCCGCCTGTCGTCATGGCAACCGCGCACTGACGCGGGCCCCCCAGAGCTGCGGACGCGGGCCGACACGCCGCAAGGCCAGCCTCGCGTCTTCACCGGGGCCGCGTCCAGCGCCCTCCCCAGACAGCATCCCTCCGAGCCGCGCCCGCTTTCTAAGACCAGAACCTTAGGGACCCGCCCCCTTCACCACTTCATCCCCTCGAGTCAGTGGGGTTTCCGTATACCCCACTCCCAGACGTCCACCTAAACCCTCGTCCCCCAAGGTATCTCTCATGGGGGGCGGCCCCATGTGCCTCTGCAACTCTGCCAATGCTAACTTACCTCTCGGTGCCAGATAAACCCCTCTGCGCCCCCCGAACCTGCCTTCACCACCCTAGTGGGTACCCGGGTCCTGAACTGTACCCTCGGTTCGCGCCGACTCTCCACTCGTCCTTGCAGCCACCCCATCATCCTCCCACGAGGTTGCCCATTCCGGGCTGGTGCAGGAACGGTCTCTCCGGCCTCCGCCCTGGGAGGCCCGCTCTGCCCACCTGCGTCCCGGCCCGGCGCCACAGTTCCGCTGCAGACACCCCTCCTGCCCCCACCTTCCACCCAGCGGGCGGGCGAGAGGCCCTCTGTCCCCACTTCCCTCTGCTCAGCGTCCCGGTCGCCAGGCGCGCTCTTGACCCGCCCGCTCACCGATGTCCCCTCTCACCTCTAGCTTCTGGCGGGCGCCCCTCACCCGGCCCGGGCAGGGGCGGCCGGCCCCAAGGTTGGAGTCCGTTGCGCCCCCAGCCCCGGCCTCGGATTCCAGATGGAGCCCGACCCTCCGGAGGCGCAGAGCGGGCCCATAGTCCCGACCTTTTTCCCGGTCTGCCCGCCGGCGCCCCTGCTGTCCCTCCCCGCCGCGTCACTGCGGCCGCCCCGCCCCCTTCCTGGGCCCAGCGAGCCCTCCCCACCCCGGCAGGGTCGGGGCAGCCCCGCCCGCAGCGCAGCAGGGCAGGCCCCTGCCTTCCTTCTCCAAGGCAGATGGGGAAGAGGCCGGTGCCCAAATGCCACAGTTCTTGACTTCTGTGCTGTCTGGACACCCAGAGGTTTCATTTCCCACCCTGGCCCGGCCAGGGCAGCCCTCCTGTGTGTGTTGAAGAGGTGGAATTGGACATGGCTGGGTCCCAGGGTAGAGGAAACGCTGCATCTCCAAGTTAGCCAGGAACTGGTAGCTCTCCCCTTGGTCTAGGGTTGGGATTTCAGGGCCACTGAGCTCCATACCCAGGTAGAGGTCTCTGTCACTACAATTCTCTGGGCCATCCCCTTCACGGAGCCCAAGTCCTTCCCTACTCATGGCTGCTAGGGTCTCAAATTTGGCCACCCATCTGAGCTGGCCCGACTCCGTACAAAGGCCAAGACACCGAGGCTGGCTCCTCGAGCCACACCCAGCCTGGTGGAAGTTGTCGGGACAGCGGATGGCAGCATCAAGCCCAGGTGCTGGGGGAAGGGAACATCTACCTGCCTCCCCGAGGAGTTAAGAGACCCGGTCTATGCAGTGCCTTCCAAGGACAGTTTAAAGCGGAAGGTAGTGTAAGGGCCTTAGGGCATTCGAGGGAGAGGCTTAAGTGAACTGGTATTTCCACCCTGCCAGGCATGCCTGCCAATCCGGAGGAAGGGCCCTCCAGGCTGTGGCTCTCCAACGGTGCCTCCAGCTGCGAAGGCAGCCAAGGTCCTGCGCTGCCCCCTGGTGGCACCGCACGATGATGCAGGCGTGCCCACCACTGGCCAAGCTGCTTTCAGCGGCTCCCCCAGCTGGAAGGCGCAGAGCCCGAGGTGGCAATGGACTGGGTGGGAAGGCACAGCTCGGTTCAGGCAGCCTCCCCGATTCCCCTCCTGCCGGGGCCACCCAGCTTCCCCAGAGGAACCAGACACAGAAAAGCTCAGAGCTGAGAGAATGACTCCAAATCATCTTTTATTTATATAAAAAGGGCATATTTAGTAAAAGACACACCAAAAAAAGTTGGCTGTGGCCCCAGAGACGAGGCAGGGAGACCCGCTGCACTCCAGCTGGACAGGGAGGAGGAAGCCTGGACTACAGAGTTAAGAAGTAAGTGCGATGTGGTGGGGCCACACACAGGAGCAGGCTACAGTTGGCCCAGCACTGTGAGCAGGTCACGGGTGGGACCCACGGTGGCCTCTCCGCTCACTCCTGCAGAGGGAGGGGCCCAGTTTGTAGAGCCAACTGGAGGAAGATCTGCTACCTGGTTCCTGGAGGACGCCCACCGAGGGACACAGGACAGGAAGCCCAGGATAGGAAGCAACTTGGGGTGAAGGCCAAGGAGAAGCAGGTGCTCTGCAGTGGCCGGAAAGGTCCCGACGAAAAGGCCAAGGTGCTTCCTGTTACGTGCGGGCGTTGCGTTCTGTCTCTGCCAAGCACTCTCTGACCAGTGCCCGGGCATGGATGATGCCTGAGGTGAGGACAGGAAAATAACAAACGGGGTCTCAGCAACCTTCCACAGCCACCACTCACACCCTTTGGGGCAGACACTCCCCCACCCCCTGCAAGGTTCAGCAGGAGCAGGTCTACTCTAATGCGGCTGGATGAGATTAAAGGTTTAGCTAACCCTCACAATCACCCTGAGGTCCCGGGCACTTCCTTGGAGGCTGACTCGAGTTCATTTTTTGGTTTTTTGAGACAGGGTTTCTCTATGTAGCTTTTGCGCCTTTCCTGGAACTCACTTGGTAGCCCAGGCTAGCCTCGAACTCACAGAGATCCGCCTGCCTCTGCCTCCCAAGTGCTGGGATTAAAGGCGTGCGCCACCACCGCCCTGCTCGAGTTCATTTTGAAACACCTGTCTGGGTAGAGGTTCTGACCCAATCTGGGCTGGCCCAGGGGTCCTTAATGAAATGTCTTAATGTTCAGGGTTGGTGTCCTGGGCAGAGCAAGGGCGGGCCCGTGTCTTCACTCACCTCTCTTGAGGCGCTCCATCGCACTCTTGCTACCAGCATAGGTCGGCCGGATCTCTTTGCCCATCTCCTCTATGACGGACAGCAGGTCCGTGTAGGTGCTCTGAGAGCCCTGGGAACCAGGCGGCTTCATCGCCTGTCAAAAGAAGACAGAGAAGTGACCTCAGACCCCGAGGGGACCTCCTGTCCTCATCCATAAGCAAGCTCGTGGCCACACTCACCTGTACATACCCCATGGAGGGCGGTCCAAAGTCGTTAAACAGTGGCCTGAAAGGGGCTGCGGCTCCTGGCACGGAGCCCGACGGCGACGGGACACTTCCGGCTGCAAAAGCACGAGGAAGAGGAGGTCAGCGTGTGGCAAGGGCCTCGTCACAGCCTTCCCCTCCCTGGACCGCTCGCCTGACTGTCTCCAAAGGCACGCTTCTTCATTCCACGCCGAACAACTTCAGAGGCCCACTCCTCCCCCTGCGCTCCACCTACAATCTCTCCGTGACCACGCCCACTTCACAGCCCAGCAAACTGAGGCTGAGCAAGGCTCGCCCAGCAGGCCCCGTATTGCAAAACTCGAGCCGTTCCTCTCCAAGACCTCGACTGCCCGGACAAGGGGAGCAAGGGTGGAGTTGGAGCCTCACCTGTAGGGACCGGAGTGCCTGGCCCGGGGGTGCTGGAGCCGGGGGTACTGCTGGGGGCGGGCGCGATGGGTTTGTAGGACATCCCAACTCCTAGGTGCGGCGGCCGCCAGCCGGCCGCTCCTCCGGGGTTGGCTGTCCGGCCGCTCAGCCGCACTCTGATTGGCAAGCAGGCTGCACGCCCCTGGTAAATAGAGCTCCGGCCGGAAGGGCGGGCGGGCACGACCGCTCCTCACTCCCGATTGGCGCGCTCAGCTGTCACTCGAGCCTCCTCATTGGCTGAGCCCAGCCCCCGCAGGCCGCAACCGCTGCCGATTGGCCTGCACCTTCCGGACCTCGCACCTGTCTGCCCCGGATTGGGCGGTGACTGCCGCCCTCCTCAATTGGCGAGTTCGGGGCCCGGGGCCGGCGCGCTTTCAATCCGATTAGTCCCGAGGTCCGAGAGGCGGGGCCTCAGCAGCGGGGCCGGTGTGGTCCTCGCGGTTCGCTCGGATGGCGTGTGGCCGGGCGCCGGACACCCTCCGTCCTCACCGTCTCGCGCCTTCTCTCTGCTGTGAACACCAAGGGCTGCAGCTCCTACAGTGTGAGCCCTCCGCCCCACCCCGGGCGCTTTACGTCACCTTTCACCGGTTCAGCGCCCCCTTTCAGGCTGTGCGCATGCGCGCGCCTCAGGCCTTCGTTTGTTCCCATGGCAACGGGTCCCTTGCCAAAGTCATCACTACGCTCTTTCTCCGGGTTGGTTTCAGTCTTAGGTCTAGACAGGTGCTGGGTCCAGGGCAGCCAACGACACCTCTCGAAACCTGCACCCTAAGCCTCCCACCTCCGTCCCGGCATCCAGGACTGCTTTGGGGCAAGAGCAGGACCTGGGTCAAGGCCCTTGGTCGGAACCTTAGCCCCCTCATTAGCAATTTCTTCCTGGGCTCTCCTTTGGGAGGGTTGGGTGGGATTGAGACAAGGTCTCAAGTAGCCCAGTCTGAACTTGAACTCACTGTGTAGGTGAGGATGACCTTGAACTCCTGAACCTCCACTTCCCAAATGCTAGGCATTTACAGGCACACGCCACAGAGTTTCTTGCCTTAAAGTGCCTGTTTCCTTACCTGAAACACGGAGACAATAATCCCTGGAAAGCAAACCAGGAAGTTACAGAAAGGTAGAGATGAGAGCTGGCCCCATGTGGACCGAGCTGAGCTGATTGCGATATTCATTCTTCTAACTTCATCCACTAACGAAGCCCCCACCTGAGTCTGGCCATCTAGTTCTACTTCCTTTAAATCGATTCACTTTTAAATTAAGAATATTTATGAATATGAGTGTTTTGCCGGTATGTATGTCTGCAGAACTACTTCAGCCCCCAGCTCTGTTTTACAAACCTCAAATAAGAGGCTGAGCGATGTCTCAGCAGTTAAGAGCATAGGCTGCCCTTCCGGAGGACCCAGGTTAGAATCTCAGCACTCACATAGTTAATAACCACCTGTAACTGCATTTCCAGTGGACCCTATGCCTGCTTCTGTTCTTAGTGGACAAAAATAAATCTCTTTTCTTCTTATTTATTTAGAGAGAGATGTTCTCACTATTCATCTCTGGCTAACCTGGAACTCATTATATAGACCAGCTGGTCTTGAACTCACAGAGATCCTCTCTGCCTTCTAAGTGCTAGGATTAAAAGCATGCACCCCAACACCCAGCTAAATAAATTTCCTTTTTTTTTTTTTTTTTCTGGTTTTTCAAGACAGGGTTTCTCTGCGTAGCTTTGAGCCTTTCCTGGAGCTCACTTGGTAGCCCAGGCTGGCCTCAAACTCACAGAGATCCACCTGGCTCTGCCTCCCGAGTGCTGGGATTAAAGGCGTGCACCACCACCACCCGGCCAAATTTCCTTTTTAAGACTATTAAAAAACAAACCAGTGGTGACAAGTGCCTTTAACCCCAGCACTCAAGAGGCAGAGGCAGGTGGAGCTCTGTGAGTTCCAGGCCAGCCTGGTCTACAAAGCGAGTTCCAGGACAGCCAGGGCTACATAGAGAAACCCTGTCTAGAAAAACAAAACAAACAAAAACCCAAACAAGCAGAACCCCCCAAAACCTGAAATTAAATATATATATCATGGCATTTAATCAATGCCTCTTCAGAATTCTCTAATACATAATTAAAATAAGGACTGAGCATGGTGATGAGTGCTTGTAACTTCAAGTGAGGCTGCAGGATCATGAATTTAGTGCCAGTCTGGGATACATAGATCCTGTCTAAAAAAAGTGCTGGTCAGATTACCCAAGATCTCCCCCAAGTGTGCCAGGAAACTGCACTGTGGGAAAGACTCCAGTGTGTGTGTGTGTGTGTGTGTGTGTGTGAAGAGCAGCTCCTGTGAAATATTCCTTTTTTTTTTTTTTTTTTGGTTTTTTTGAGACAGGGTTTCTCTGCGTAGCTTTGCGCCTTTCCTGGAGCTCACTTGGTAGCCCAGGCTGGCCTCAAACTCACAGAGATCCACCTGCCTCTGCCTCCCGAGTGCTGGGATTAAAGGCGTGCGCCACCACCGCCCGGCTGAAATATTCCTTTATGAATGTCCCAGTCCCTCTCCTTGCAAACCTTAAGCCTTCCTGCGTTCTCCATCGCTCCATATGTTCAGCAGTTGGGGCTGACTAATATCCAAAGCAAACAAAATGCCATGGACTGAGTAGTTAAATCACAGATTATTTTTGCACAGCTTAGGAGTTAAAAGTCCGAGGTCAGGGTACCAGCCTGGTGAGCTCCTGATTTGGACTTTCTTCCTGGCCCTACACAGTGTTTCTAGGTAGGAGCCCTGCCCTTTGACCTCGTTTCATTTTGATTACTTCCTCAGAGACCGACCTCCAGACTCAGCCACAGTGAGGACCGAGGCTTCAGCGTCTGAGTCTAAGGGAACACACAACATTCAGCCCTAACATCTGTGTTCGGGGGAAGTAACCATGGGGCTGAACAGGGATTTTACATGTTCCTCCTCCTTAGAAAGTGGGTCCTCGCTGAGGAACGAGGCATCTGAGGGATGTTAGAGCAGACAGTTGTGGCCTACCCAGAGCAGACTCTGCTCGCTTGGGGGAAGATGGCAAAGGCCCCTTGGCCAGTTTGTCAAGGGAACCCTCCCTCGGCCTGAAATTGTTCGTTCCTCTGTGTGTGTGTGTGTGTGTGTGTGTGTGTGTGTGTGTGTGTGTGTGCGCTCGCGTGCGCGCAGGTGAGCACAGGTGCTTGAGGAGGCCTGAAGAGGCTGTCAGAGCCCCTGGAGCTGGAGTTCCAGGTAGTTGAGAGTCATCCAACATGGGGGTGCTGGGGATTGAACTCAGGTCCTCAGGAGCACTGGGCACTCTTGACCACTGAGCCATCTCTCCAGTCCCTTTCAATTTTTTATTTTTTTGTGTATTTATTTTGTGTGGGGTGGGTGTGCCATGGTGCATGTGTGATCGGAAGACAACCTGAAGGAGCTGGGTAGCTGTTCACTTCTTCCATCTTATGGGTCTCAGAGAACAAACTCGGGTCATCAGGCTCGGCAGGAAGCACCTTTACCCACGGAGCCATTTTGCTGGTTCCAATTTGTATTTCTGTATATTTCTCCACATTTTACGTTTGTAAAGTTTAGGGCTGGAGAGTTGGCTAGGTCGTTACACTCACAGCCCACCCCACCCCCCCTTTTTTTTCTGGTTTTTCAAGACAGGGTTTCTCTATGTAGTCTTGGCTGTCCTGGATCTCGCTCTGTAGACCAGGCTGGCCTCGAACTCACAGAGATCAGCCTGCCTCTGCCTCCCGAGTGCTGGGATTAAAGATGTGCACCACTGCCACCCAGCCATGTAAAGTTTTATAGTAGAATGTTGAAAAAAAAAACTGAATGGATGAGCTAGGGGCCGCCTGGACACCCTTGTTAGAGAATCAGCTCTGGTCAGTTGCTGACATCAGCAACAGGAGGTCTCCTGCACAGCTGGTGGGTGGGCAGAATAGCACAGCCCCTGCAGAAGGTACTCCAGCAGCTTCTTCCAGAGCTATAGTCATACCACGTGACCCAGAGAATGTATTTCTGGGTGTTGACCCAGATGATTTGAAAATGTCTGTCCCCCAAAATATGCTCCCATGACTGTCTGTGGCAGTTCATGACCTCCAACGGTGCAGATGAGCTCTGTGTTCGTCGGTGTTCACTGCTCTGGCAGTCAGGAGGAGGAAGCTTAGTGTGTTTCATGGTTTCAGGTTTCAGTTCTTGGCGGTTCGACCCTAGGTGGAGCCTGTGTCAGAGGATACATGTTCACTTCATGTGTGTGAGAATCAAAAACAGATAAAGAGGAAGAGCCAGGATCTGAATTGTTCAGGCAGTGTCCCCTCCAAGAACAGTGCCCACATGTCTGGGTCCATGGCCCTACCACAGCCAGGGTCTTTGTGGACATCCATGTTGCCGCCAAAGGCCACAAGTATGCCTGGTGTCTGGGCTGCCACTGTGGTTGTGTAGGTGTCCAAGGGTTGCCGCTGGAGCCATGCTGATCTAGGTGGCCTGTGCTGCCACCTGGGGCTATGGTGTCCTCCAGGACCCAGCTGCTGGTGAGGGCCGTGTCTAGCTGCAGCTGGGGACTGAGTTGAAATCTGTGGCCTGCGTCACCTCAGGGGCCATAGAAACCATGTGTGATGAGATCAGAGGGCCTTGCTGAACCAGCTCTGCCCTTCACCAGCCCTGAGAAAGCTGGCCCTGCCTCTTGCGAGACACTGCAGCAAGAGAGCTAGCTGGCCCTGTCATAGGAGAACTGACCCTGATGGCATGGGCGTAGGGGAGCAGACTCCACCCCCAGCCCCCCGTCTGTGGTAGTATTTTGATAAAATAAATTTTGCCTGAAGATTAGAGAAGCAGAGCAAGCCACAGCCACCACCTCTTACCTCACTAACTCCTCAGCCTGAAAGAGAGAGTTCCTGTCTCCTCACACCTTACATGCCTTTCTCCGCCCAGCCATATCATTTCCTGTCTCACCCTTCCTAGTGTTGAGATTAAAGGTGTGTGATCCCAAGTGCTGGAATTAAAGGTGTGTGCCACCATTGCCTGGCCTCTATTTAATCTAGTGGCTTGTTCTGTCCTCTGATCTTCAGGTAAGCTTTATTTCTTAGATTACAAGCCAAGTATCACCACACCCAGTGGCCCACCCTAACATCTACCCCATCTAGGACCTCCTGGAGCTTGTGAAGGAACTAATGGTGTGGAAGGGCCCCCACAGGATCTCCATGACTTGGGGCAGC